TTCAATTGACTCAATAAATCATGCCTCAATCGATTATAATCAAACAATAAAGCATCCAAAACTTCATACAAGAAAGATCCTAACTCATGGAACTAGGGTTCCTCAAAACCTAAGTGAAGGGAAGTTACTCCATAGAGAAGAGAGAGACTGCAGAAATCTGATCTAGATCTTCAATCTCCATCTCCAAGCTTTATTCCCAAGCTCCAATGGCGAAGAAATCCTCCAAAATAGCTCCAAGAATGCTTCCAAGTCGCTCTCTCTCTAGGGTTCGTCCCTTGGGTGTTTGGGATCCAAAACCCAGCTCTCCCCCCTTCCTTTTGCTGAAAATCGGGTTTTAAACATCAATTCCCGACTCACACGGCCAGGCCGCACGGCCGTGCGGCTTTCCCAGCTGCCCGTGTGAAGACTCGGTGAATTCCGCACGGGCAAAAGTGCCCCTTGCACGGCCGTGCGGGTTGTGCCCGTGTGGCTTGCTCAGCCTCTGTTTAATGCTTCATTTCTCCCTTGTCCGGACTCCGAATCAGTCGCCGTTTGATCCCAGACGCTCGTAGTCTCGTCCTCTTTCTTTTCATGACAAGCTTGCATGATTCTTTGTCCATAAAGTGAGGTAGAAATCCATTCTTCTTCAGGTCATACCCGAGTTTCTTCTCCCGAATCGTCAATTGATCTCTGATTGACTTGAAACTTGCGCCTATGCTTCACTTTATGTGCTAGGACCTGAAATGTGACAAAGGAACACAACCTAGCATAAAATAGGCCAAAGACACGGTAATTCAAGCTCAAACAATCAAGAAACAAAGGGGAAAACATGTGCAAATACCGAGTCATCACTTACCTACACTCTCGACGAACCACCCTTCAAAATCACCGGAGACAGAAAGCGAGATGGACGTAGGTAGGAAAATGGTATATGCGGCGGAGGCAAGGGGCTTTCCCTTCTTCTTCTTAGGGGTTTTGGTAGCAGCCGTAGGAAAGGGAAGAGGGATTATGGTTGGCGAACTGTTTTTGGCGGCGGAAAAGGAAACCGCCGACAACGTTATCTGCGGCGGAGGCGAGGGTTTTTTCTTCTTCTTCTTAGGTGTTTTGGTAGCAGATGGAGGAAAGGGATGAGGGATGATGGTAGGCGAATGGTTTTTACCGGGGAAAGTGGCTAATTTGCCTCCGGAAAACCATCCCCTTCAAAGCCGACGATTGCGTGTCATCACACGTGGAGTGGGGAGGGAGCGGATCCAGTGCGGCTCATCCCATTTTTACCCCTGATTTATATCAGCCGCCAGATCAAGAGAACGGGGGATCTATGGCTGTAAATGGGGAAGCGAAAATCGCAACCCCCATAGGGGTTGTGACGCTATCTAAATCCCTTGGTGGAGCTCTAACATTGGCATGCTCGACCTTCAACCCTTCGCACTTCGCCATCTGCCGTTGGTCGAGAAATAGATCAAATCTTGCGATGAGAGCCGTAAAAATCTCCCGCATCTCCTACCTGAAGATTGCGATCCCTTGCACCTCTTGTTGAAGCAACGCTTCGGTTCGGACCGTTGGAGTCTCCATTGTCGTAGGATCAGCCGGCTCTGATACCAAATGTTATGTGCACGTTTTGTAGACTACGATTTAGGGAGAAAGATCAAAGAAGAGAATGGAGGAAAGATAGATAGATTGGAAGAAGAGAAGTGTTCTCCTTAATGACGAGAACGGAACTCCTAAACTTTTTCGAGGAAAGCCAACCTCCCAAATTAACACGTGGGTGTGTAAAATCCTTTCTGATTATACTCAATTCCTCATCTATCCATCTGCTACCTTAAATAGAGAACTAATCCTAAATCCCTCCAATCCAACGTAAAAGATCTAACAACAATTATTCCTAAATTATAGGACATGGGTCCGTAATCCTGGCTAGCAACTAACACACCCTATCACGTCTAACAATCCATAACACTTAATCCTAATTCTAATTAACAGCAGAGATACGTAATTAAATAAAAATAATTAAAGTACATGACAACCAACTTCTCCCTCCTTCTGAACAGAGACCGAGTTCGACCACTCCTCCGTCGCGAACGCCAAAGTTCTGCTCCTCGTGTAAGGTCCAATTTCGCTTCGTGATTAGGTGGGTGTCGGTGGAGTTAATGGATGAAGATCAGCTTGGCACATAAGGAGTAGCAGCGGGCCAGTAAGTTGCCCCGGAGGAGGAGTTGGTGGACGGCAAAGGTGAAGAGTGACCGCCAGACTAGGTGGAAAGGTGACCGCCGTACTGGTGGGAAGGTCGACGGGTGCACCCAGTTTTGAAGAGAGTACGGTCACTTCACATAACTTTATAGGGGCTTGTTTGTTAATTTATGATAGTAGAACGGTGCAAAATGCTATTAACCCAAATATATATTGGACAGCAAATTAATTGAAACAGTCTGGTCAACCTAATACATAGAGGGGAAATCCTTTCAAATCTGAGTTTTGATTCCCCCACATTATGGCGCATACGAGAACAAGATGGGATTGTGCGAAAGTATAGTTTGATAGACCTCCGCTAAACATTGTATGTCAACTTGTTTGCAATGATGTTATTTCTTTTTCTACTCATGCATAAAAGTTGAATACAAGTTTCAATATATAAAAAATTCCTCCATGTACCCTTCTAAATTAGAAGCTACAAAACAGCTATTTCATTCATCATTTCATACTAACAACTTTCTTTTCTTACAACATACTAAAATAATATATAAACAAGTTAGGTGTTAGATAAAAACCCAAATGCGCCCTTTATATAATTAATTATTAAAATAACAGGTAGCACGGGGCTTCCTGGAATGACATCAGCGCTGCTGGGTGCTACACGTGTCATCCTCACCGACATCCCCCCTTTCCTCCCTCTCAAAGTCAACCTGATTTTTTTTTTATACATACAAACATTACGAACATAGTGGACAAAAATGACAAATTAGATCGACAAAACATACAAACTGGAAAAACACACGGGTTGACTTTGGAGGCTTCATCCCTATATATAAGGGTTATGTCCAAAAGTCAACCAGATTGTTTTTTAGACATAAAAAAACATTACAAACATGGTTGACAAAAATGGCAAACATGATGGACAAAAATAACAAAGCTTACAAACACTACCAAATAAACCAACAAACATTACAAAAATAACAAAATTTACGAACATCACAAAACAAATTGACAAACAGTACAAAACATACTAAGAGTACAAAATGGCACTACTTACAACACAAAACAATAAACTTGTATTATAAAACAACAAAGTATACAAATAATAACATAAAGTATACAAACTAGATAAACAAACATTACAAATTACAATATATGTAAATTAGTCATATAAACATTAAAAACTAGAATGATAAACAGTACAAACCGAATCGATACAAACATTACAAACCAGACTTATAAACATTACAAAATAGGTCGACAAACATCACAAATCCTACAATGTCGCCGAAAAATTATCGTTTATCGTCTCCGCTCGCCGAAAAATTATCGTCTGCCGTCTCCGGTCACTGAAGAAATGTTGGGTGTTCATGTCATTACCTTACTGTTACAGATTCAGTTCATTTCCTTTGTTTAAGTCCATTCATTGTTACCTTGTATGTTGGTTTTCATTGGTTACAGATTTGGGGACAAGACTGTTCTCAAGGGGTTGGGAGTTGTAATGACCCAATGCCTGGAAGGAGCTACTTGTAAACAGTATAAACACAAGGACTACTTTAGATATTTGTAACAGCTATAAAAGGCTGGTTTGTTGTACTGTAGAAGGCAAGTTTTAACCGAAACACATTTTCCCAATCTATCTTCTGCTCTCTCCCTCGTCTCTATCCTCTGTCTCTGTTCTTTCTCCTCTTATTTTCTTCTCCAATTCCCAACTCTCTTCTCAAACCCTTCTCCTCTTCTCTTCAATTCCGTTTCCTATTCAGAATTCGCCAAGAATCCAATTCCTTCTACCCAGGGTGTCACACCAATCAATAAAATTTATGTTGGCTTGATGTCAAGATTCAAACTAATAATGTGGTGAACATTATCGACGAGGCCATGCACTTTGAGTTAATCAAAGCTTCATTCAAAGTCCATAGGTTATCACGAGTCCTTTAATGAAAGAATCGAGGGGTGAAATTATTTTAAATTTGACCAAGTCAAGGAATTTTAACATATTCAACAACAAGATTTAAATTTTAATTGGTAATGCACATGATTTAAAAAACTCAATTGGTGGAATTTCTTAATCTCAATTGTCTCCTTGAAGAACCATTTTTCAATTTATTGCTAGAAAAACAAAACTAACATAATTCCCTTTTCATAAAACATTGAAGAACATTATATCAATGGTTCCCTCGATTTAAATTCAAATCACTTTAGCGTTCATCAAATTTAAGATTCCTTCATTCGAAGAAGGCATACAAATTAAAATTACCTTACTCTTAACTTGTAGAATGTAAATGAGTTTCCTCTAAAATGCATACACATGAAATATAATCAGAATTACCACAAAATATGTTTTATGTGAGTAAAAGTCCAAACAAAAACGAAAAATATGCATTTAGCTTGTCCAATATTAAAATTGCCCTATGAATTATGATAATTTTCAAATGCCCACATGGTTTATGTGAGTGATCATACCGTTTGTTTCTGCCTGAAGATTCAAATTCAAATATTAGGACAATGCTTATTTTCACCCCTCCCCACCCCTCTAGTAGCATCTCTATAAAACAAACCACGTTTGTGAGTTGTGAGAAATGAAAACCCCAAACCAAGCCCATGTGTTTTCAATTACCACATTTTATGAACAAATTTTACACCTTGAAATCAAATTTCATTCAATGGTCTGGAGCGTGCAATTGTCCGGGCCTATCTCATCACCGTGACACAATTGGGGAAACGCATCTTCGGATAAGGACTGGACCATCATTTTTTATCCAATTTAATAGTTTGGTACATCCAAAGGTCCATTACTCCATTTGCAAAATAACAAGACCTAGACCAGAGTGCATCATATTCAGTTCGGGATGTTCCAATTCTAACATCAATTTGATCCGAAACAATAAAGAACAAACCGTTGGACACCCCAAACGACCCGTAGATAAACCAATACATATGCCTAGCCACCCAATTCAGATATTCTTCTCTCAGCAATCTGTGATGGTACAATTCTCAGTCCTTCCTCTCTTCAAATAAGGAAACAGTGGGACTCAAACCACAAAAATCATATAGGGAAACAGTGGTACTCAAACCAAATGCCAAGATCTACTATCAAAAACTTACACCAGAACTGCATCGATGGTAAGAAAACAATCAGATCTCAATCTTCCCAGGCGACTTATAATATATGCTAAAGAGTAAAGAGTCTAATTACATGTCAGGATATGCCAAAAGGGTTGACGTGATCAAACTTCTCTAGTCTTTCTGTACACAGACCGCCTTTCGCATTTCTGCTAAGTGCATATGTAAGAATATTTTCTTCAGCTCCTCTCCTGTGTCCTCGAGATTTCCTGTGTGTATTGTAGTTTACTAGTTCCATTTTGCAATCAAAGTATGTCCAGCCAAACCCTTCCGAACAAATCCATGCCCTTGTAATGCTCCCTTAGATGGATAAACTCCTAAACATTACTCTTTCCATGCAGGCCGACAAAAGGGGTTATATCTCATCTTTCCAATCGACCATTCGCGCCTTGGATGTGCCGACCCTGACTGCTTTGTATAGCCCCATTAGCCCAAGCTGTGCCAGACCATCCTTCTTACTACAACTTATTCTCATCATCTCTTGGGCTTTTCGACTGACCATGACAAACCGGCAAACATCTTGCGCCTCTGGGCAGGATTATAATAGGAGGGGTCAAACACGGCAGCACGAACCAAGTTGCTGGATTGCAAAGACAATAGAACCCATCACAGCCAACAAAAATCACTGCCTTTCTGACCTCTCTCAACCGTTGTAGTGAATTTTCTGGTTCTGGGACCCCTGCCCCTGATGGGGCTGCTGTTGTTGTGGTGCCTGTAAATTGGGTGGCTGAGTGTTGTAGTGGCCGAAGGGCTGGGAGTAGAGCGAGTTCATATAACCCTGCATAGGTCAAGGAACTAACTTTAGCAAAATATGGTACACATAAGTACCATAAGCAATTTAAACAATATTACCACATTTGAAATTCAGGTAAAAAAATAGCTTTGAAATAGATAAGAACACTATCAGAAGTCAAGCAACCAATTTAATTCATTAATATACATGCTAAAATGCGCTTCATGATTTAAACGCTCAAGGTACGTGCATGAGTTACATGCAACATCACATATGTTTCCAGAGCAGCAGAGTTATGAACCTGAGACTGAAGTGAATTTGGATTAGCCATATTGAAATGGCTTTGTGACGCTTCATCCTGCGAGGGATCATTCATGCCGACCTGAGTGAACAGCCCTTGTGTTGCATGACCCATGTAGTCCTGTTAACATCCAAATATTGTCAGGAAAAAAGTCAGCATAAAATAAAACTAAAGAGAGCTGATATTGCAGAAGGATGAAAAACCTGAGACATGAAGTCATTTCCAGAACCAAAACGAGAATATCCAGCTTGTGAATTCTGATTCAGAAAATTGCCAGGATATCCAGCTTGTCCTCCTTGTGTAACATAATCAACAGCATACCCACTTTGGGAAGCCTACAAACAAACAAGCATTTCATCTGATAAGCTTGCAGAAACCACAAGACTATATACAACATCACAAACAATGCAACAGCTCATATCGTGCCGCAGGTACCTGGGTGGAATTGTCAAAAAAAAAATTACCTGGGTGGAGAAGTCTGTAACATTGTAAGGCACATGTGATCCCTGGCTTTTAAAGTCGTCACCTAAGAAATCCTGATGAATGCCGAATAGAGGATTACAGCTGTGAAATAAGAAAAGCAGTGCTAAAAAGGAACATTAAACATACCTGAGACATTCCACTCATTGAAAACCCATCACGAAACGACTGGCTTGCCCCTTGAACTGGCATCTGTAATGTATTAACACTCCAACAATTAATAATAAGTACCATGCAGAAAGCTGAAAAGGCCATGAAAAAGGGGCATTGACAACATAACATACATTGTTCACAAATCCAGGTTGAGATAATGGGCCACCAACAGAAGGCTGGCTGTTGGGATTCTCCAAACCAGGGAAGTTAAAGTTCGGTCCAATATTCCCAACTGCCTGCTGATTGGTCTGGTGTGCAAGATGACTACCAATAGGAGCAGTGGTACTTCCACGCCCAGCCCCAAAACCACGACTTCCTGGTGCAGGTACATGAGGAACAGCTCCAACAGGTCCGTGCACAGCACCACGTGATGGGATCGCATATGGTTGCGGAGGCGGCGGGCCATGGAATGTTGGCATGGGGACTCGTGGCACTGGAAATCCATTTGGATGCACACCAGGCTTGTGAGCACCATTAGCTGGCCCACCTGACATGTGTGAACCAGCAAGTGTAAGGGGTTATAGGAGTCAGGATCAGAAACAGGGGATGTTGCTAGAATTCACCAGCAAAGGAAAAGCAGCGCTAAAGCTATGGGAACAGTCACAATTAGGTGGCATAAACCAGCCAACTTAAATACATCCACCCCAACCCATGGAATTGGTAGGTTGATGGGTTTCTGTCATATTACCATTCAGTACCCAAAATTGTGTCATAAACTTTAGCACCTAACTTCCCAGATGTTCACAAAATATGGAGTCAGCGTACAATTTTGTAGCGGAATAATGAGTTCTACATTTAAATCCATCCCATGAACCCACAAACTTATTCTAGCCCAACAACCCAACCTACATTTGTCGCGTCTCAATATGCCCCACCTCATTAGAATAAACCGGTAATCCTAACATGGAAGTCTATAATTTCTATAAAGTGAATCAATTCACGAAGAATACCTCTGGCACGCCCGCTTCTTCTGTCAGCATTTGGAACACTGGATACACCAGATCCCAGACCATCATTGGGCAACACTCCAGGTCCAGCCCCAAAGAAAAGTCTTCTGTCGTTATATATCTGTTTACAGTGTGAAAAACAGAAGAATAACAATTAATTAAAACAGAATATATATACAAATGGATTCCTCACTGATAACAAACAGCTAACTAATGATAAAATGCCAGTCTACCACACCTTTTTAGGTTTCTGAAACTGAACCATACTCTGCTTCAGGTTATTAAGAGGTCCCTCAACCAAACATTCATGTTCCTGACGGGACACATATGGAGAATAAACAGCTATGAGTTGGTACAACAACATAGATAGCAACAAATAATATTATACATCACAGTAACAACTACTGATAATATCCAAGCCTAACACTACAGGTTAGCAGAAAAAATACCTTGTAGTGTGTCAACAAACCATTCCACAACGGCTGTTTGCTAAGGACTTTTGGGTTGCCCAGTATCACGATGCCGTATCGTGCACGAGTAAGAGCTACATTAAGCCTCCTAGGATCATTAAGAAACCCAATACCCTGAAAACATACAAGGAGATGATCCATTAAATGGAAATGCACCACTTTCTTATTTCAAGACAATTAAAAGAACATGTATGCGAATGAGTGAGAGCAACACTGGGCTAAACAAACCAACCTGGTGTTCATTGCTCCTAACGCAAGACAAAATTATATAATCCTTTTCCCTGCCTTGAAATGAATCAACACTAGCAACCTGTAGAAACATCACTTAAATTTATGGGAGTAACTTCAAGAAAAACTACCATATCGGAAATCTGAAACCTGAATTCTACCTCAATTTCCTTGTAAAGCTGCTGCCTAAGAGCACCATTTCTGGACATATAGTTCACAATATATGCCCTCTGGCCTTCATATGGTGTTATCACCCCAATCTAAAAAAAACTATTAGAATACAGTACCACAGAGTACAAAATCAACGATAAGATTCAGAGAGAGCAGCCACCTGACTAGGGATTACACCACTTCTCAAGAAAGTAGTTACGATCTTCTCAACATTTGCAGCCTCTGTACGATTCAGATAGGAGGTTCCACTAGCACTTATCTCCTCTTGCCCCATCTAAAGAAGAGCAATCTAGTTACAAACACAACTTTGGAATAAAATACAGAAAAGCATAAAAATGAGGACATCATTGGTACAACAATCGAAGTGATTTTCAAAGGTTTTTTTAGAAAGATCAATTATTGTTTTCATGTCAGTAAACAGCAAATCAACATAATCGTATTACTATAGAGCTATGTACCTGGACATAAAAGAACATGGGACGATTAGGCACAGGCCAGGGGAAATCAATGCCTGTTGTTTGCCTCTCATTTACAGTAACCCCATTTTGCAGGGTGCCTTCATAAAAGCTGTTAGATGGGAACTCTGAAAGAGCCGGGTGCATTCGATATTGAACCTGAAAGAGGGAAATCATCAGATAATGTCTTTACATAAACATGTAAAGAGAAAAGGTCTGAAATTACAGCAGCAAAGCAAGTAATTAAAACATGTACAACCTACATGCCAGCCTCCACACAATTGTACTTATTGGCATGTTAGATATTTATATCACAGCACAAAGAACCACAACTACCAAGGCCAACCGATATGCATGTGTTTCCAATCATCCTAAAAAATGCAGATAGCTAAACGGAAGACACTGGAAGAAGATTCAAAAGATACGCCATACTTCAAAGAGCATGCAATCAGCTCGAAAGTTGTGATCAATTACAAATATTGTAGAAAGGCCCAACATAAATGCAGGTCAACCTCCTAGAATTTCAAATTTTCATCAACGCAAGAACTTCCTCGAAATAGTAAGTCACAGATTCAGCTATTAAAAAATCATACCATGCATCGTGTAGCAGAGAAGAAATCAGCCAGATTGCATTTCGACTTCTACATTAGATGTATCGAGCAAAAGCCCTTACAGTCCAGGAGGCGCAATATAAACTTAAAGCTAACTTAATATATGCATATAAATAGGGGAAAATCCAAACCAACCTGCAGCCTAATTGGTTTTACTCCAAGTAACACGAGGCGTTCAAATAGAGACTGTGCCAGTCCAGCTCGAGCTGCTTTCTTGCACATAATAACAGGACCAAGTTGACAGTGGTCGCCAACAAGTATAACCTAAACAAAAAAATTAGTCAGAACAAGAAGCACGAGCATTCAACCGATTCCAACTTAAATAGATATGGCATATACCTGCTTTGCCCCAAGAACTAAAGGAATTAGGCACTCAGGTTCAGTCGATTGAGTGGACTCGTCAATAAGTACCTAGACAACACAAAGGATGTAAGCATCTTCATTATAATTATAACAATGGATGAAAGTGCAGACAATATGCATCTCTACCTGGCGGAACCTAAAATTTGCAAGTCGAGGGTCTCCAGCACCAACACACGTGCAACATATGACATCAGCACTCTGAGATATCTCCCTCTCTGTAGCTCGCTTCAGAGCCTTGTACTTCTTCTCATCACTGCTGGAAAGCTCACCTGTATGCATAACAATATACAAGGAGACCAAAGAAAGCTCAATGCACGGTAGCAGAACTTTCCAGTGACAATTCAGCAGCAGCTCATAAAATCTTATAATTAGTTCAAATGAGCAAACACTGACAAAGAAAGACAAGGCCCTTCCTACGCCTAAGCAAATATCATGCTAAGCATCAAAGTTACCAAAGAGACTGCATTTAGAAACAATTTGCGAAAGAAAAGAGAAACTGCAAACCTTGTTCATCTTTTAGCTGTTGCAACTTGTGAAGTTCACTCTTTTCGGAAGTATCAAGATGTCTAACCTGAAGTTATATAACGAGTACCACAATTTTTTGACCAACAAGGCTCAATAAAAAGAAAATTTTGTTAATAAACAAGCAAGTAAGGATCATTTAACTGACCTGATAGTGAAGAGTCAGGTGCTCAACAGGAGAGCTAACAGCTTCCCTCGACTTGGCACAAATGCGAACAACCTTCATAGTCAAGAGAAATTTTGGGGGAAATTGGTTTAACAATGAGTAACCATGCAACAACTTAATTAACCACCAAAACCAGGTCCAATGTACTGTTGTGAACTACAAGTACCACAGAAATTGAAACTAATACCAAAACCTAATGTATACTGCACAAACATTCTATCATACTTCCGAAAGAGTAACCAAGGATGAACTTACCTTCAAGCCAGTGGCACTTATCTTCTCCGCTAGTTGGTCTACAGCCACATTACTTGGTGCACATACCAACACCTAATTTAGAAATGTTAACAAGACAGGTATTGCTATCCGAGACAAAAAATTATGAAATCAATTGAAATGCCTTCACACCTGCCCCTGGCCTTGTTTGGCCATATGATAGACAATTGCAGCAGAAGTAACAGTTTTTCCAGTGCCGGGAGGACCTTGAATCAAACTAATAGGCCGCTGGAGGACATTCTTCACGGCATATACCTGTAGGACAGGCAGGTGTTACTACTCAACAAAAACACAAGTACACAACCAAATTGCAGATGAAGCAACAATACAGTCATTAACATCTTAGAACCACCAAATAAATCACAGCATCATACTGAATGACATCTAAGTCATGATATTGTATGGTAAAGAGAGTTTTGGATCAATCTTTACCACAATATCAGTCCCTCACCTTCTCGTTAAGAAAGTCAACTCAATAAAATGAGATCCTACTATAAGAATAGAACTCAAGAGTGACAAGCACAAACACAGGGATCAATCAACCACAACAGTCTCTTTGGTGTTCCCCTGGTAGCCTAAGAAAAACATGTATTGAAGAAAAGAATATGACATGCAGAGCCAGAATGTTTGCAGAAAACATAGCAGGTACTTCATAAAATGCAGTTAATGTTTCTTTCCTTTTAAAAAATGAAGCTAACTTGAAGGACCCAAGAGCACATGTATTGACCACCAATCACTATACCTGGGATGCATTCAGTTCTGGAAGCCCAGGCGCACCAAACCGCCGCGGCATTGCGTTGCGAACCATATGATTTTCAACCTCATGTCCCAACAAATGATGGTATATGTACCTGTGAGTTAAAGAAATTTATTATAACTCAAACCAAATATTCACACCCTGCTGCATAAAGGACAAGTGAACACTTGCATCCAGGGAGTAAAAAGTAGACGAAAAAACAGACACTTTATAGTCACTACTTCATGTAAGCCAAGATTCGGAGGAAGATAAATATCTTCTCCATAGAGCAATGTTTACTTTCATTGTATTTTATGTCTCTAAACCAGCCACAATAATCTTCATATTAGACCAAGTTTGACCAGTGGTTCCAAGTGCAACGATTATTGCACTTAAAAAAATCCGATGCATTTCTTCCTACACTAAGCCAATTGGTTCCAGCATTTGAAGGGGACACAAAAACAGCAAAACCATGACATCTACCCTAAAATAAGAGGATCAGTTAAACACAAGAGAACTGCATATACAACTGACCCGCTGACACTTGTTTCATCCACAGCAAATGTCTTCATTGCACCCTGCATTCGATCAAAACTTGTACTCTTCCACACAAAATCAACACTAAGACCATGGTTCACATCAATAGGAACACCCTGCACATGCCAGCAGCATTAGCATCACCTTCACCTACAGCAACCCAGAACCATTAACTAAGCACAGGAAAATCACCACCTGACTAGCACGAAGCTCAAGAGCCACTTCCTCTTGTGCAGTTAGCTTTATCTGAAAAGAGAACAAACATATGAATTCTACCTTGTATAAGTAAAAATGGACATGTGGCAAGGGACTAGCAAATTAACTAAGAGAAACTGTCTTAGAGCACCAATAGGAACATGAAGGACATCATAAGCTAAACAAAAATGTGCTAGGATATTGGTTGTACCACATGCCCAACAGACTGCCAGGCTGGATGAGCCGCATCTCCAGAGTAACGCAGCCTTAGTTCATCACCAGGCACAAGACGCAACTCATTGTCCTCCTAAATCATTTAAACAACACAATCAGCTTTTATCATACACTTTTGCACCCTCACTAACCACAACAACTAGAATGAGAAGGAACACTTCCACAAAGAATCACCAAAAAAAAATTGTATCAAGAGGACCACCTTTGGGAAAACAAAATAAGCTACACGCTTCTTGTTAAGCCCTATATCCCATCGAACAGTGAGATTATCCTTGCTCTGTGACTCCTTCATCATCTATAAAAAGAGAAGGCAAAATAAGATACTGTCAACATTGAAGAGAACTTTGTCACTGGGAGACAATCTCACACAAAGGCAGGTTGCAAAACGAATAACAAAGAGCATGACCATGATGAATACCTTATCGTAGTCAGCTTCAAGCTTAATAAGTGGGGCAAATACATTTTGGTACTGCATGACAAACATAAATCACCAACTCATTCACCATCAATAACATATTGCAAAATCCAGACATACATCATTCAGAAGTACATGAAACATTACCTGGTATGCATCTTCATACTTCAGAGCTACTGGCTGGGGTTCATCATCAACACCAGGTTTCTCAAGATCTTCAAGGGCGGCATCAGGATTGCTTTTCCAGAGTTCTTCTATCTTATTTATTTGCTGTGCACTAATCTGGCGTGCCCGCAACTGCTCTTGCTCAGAAGGAATCTGTAGAATAGAAATTCTAAGGACATCCTTGGAACTTGGATGCTGTAGCAGAAACTAATTACTAACAGTCACAGGGAAATTTTTACCTTAACTAGCCACTGAAGGAAGCACCTGTCATCAATCAGGGGACACCACTGGCTGAGGTCCCAATTCATGTCCTTCAAAGCGTTAACATTCAAGCATGGCTCTCTACAGAGGAGAACGACGACGCTCTCTGTCTTGGCTGATATAAAACCAAGAAGGAACACATTGCGACATCCACAGTTGTAGCATTCAAGAATAGTTTCTCCCAAAGGACTGTCTTTATGGAGACAGACTTCCTTGTGTTTTGCTCGAACCTGAAACACGATTCCAAGTATTTAGCTATTTAAAATATATCAACCTATCAACAAGCAGAGCACAGCAAAAGCTATAATTTCCATCTGGGATTAAAAAAAAAACTCTGTAACTGGTCCAAGGAAACAGAAAACATAACTAAACCTAAATAGAAGTAGCTAATCATGCATTTACAACTTTCCACATCTATCTAGTGTGCTTATCTTCACAATGTAGGTTTGCTTAAGAGCTTGAGGTCAACGAATACTGCCAATCAAGCAAATAAGTTGGCAGAACCTATAAAACTTGATGCTCCTTAGAATCATCTCATGTCCCTCCTTTGAGAGAGGGTTTAGGAGGGGAAAAAATAGTATAGATAATCGAACTGGTTCATCAATTTCTCCTAGATTAGACATTTAGAAGTATCTACACACTGTCACATGCATCTGAGACCAGAACCCACATTTCCCTCTCTCAGGTCACAAAAGCCACTAGAAATAAACTAAAATAACCTTAGAAATAGACAACTTAAAACCTTAGATTCATCACAGAAGCCATTCACTCAAACCCTCCCCAAACCCACTTCTCTTTGACAGTTTCTAAACACAACTCAACAGTATGAAATTGCAGCAGAGATTCTGAAATTAAGCAATTGTCAGCTGCCCACAGCACACAACCACTTCACCGCCCTCCAAAAATACGCAGGAGATAACAATAAAGAAGACGAGCATTCAGCCTCACCAGGTGATTGACGATATGAGAACCCGACGTATTCCCTCTCGAATTACAAAACCACTTCCTACACGACGGTACATTGCACCTCACTACGCAAGCAGGGTTGGAAACACCGCAATATCGGCAGGCATGCTCGGTGAAATCCCCCTTCCCGAACTCGTATGCGTCTTCGTCACCAGTCTCCTCGAAATTCAGCCCTCCCATTCCAGCCACCACGCCGTCCACTCCGTGGCCGCCGCGCGCAGCTGCCTTCGCAGCTGATGATGCCACAGGGGACGCGGCTTGGGAATTGGAATGGTGGTGATCGGACGACGACGAGGATGCTGCTGCCGTCGCTGCGCCTCGGTGGTCAACGACGACGGGGTCAGCCACCGCGGACGAGGAGGAAGCCGTCGCGGCGAGGGAGTCGGAAGGGGTGGGCCAGGCGACCGGGGAGCGGAATTCCGGGTAGTCAAACTCGGATTCGCCCTGGGTGTTGAATTCCAGGAACGTGTAGGCGTCGGTCCCCGTGTCCGGCTGCGAAGCCGTCTCGTAGAGGTTGCTCTGCTGGGAATCCATGGAAGCCAATTGCTTAGGGTTTTGCGGGAGATCGGAGAAGGAGAAATGGCAGGGTAGGGGGGAATATGAGCGGTTAGGGTTTGGGGAAGGGGGGGAAAATGAAAAGAGAAGGGGGAAGGTTGGTTGGAGTTGTGGAGGGCCGAAGAAGGGGAAAAGAAAAGAGAGTGTGATCGGAATAGAAGTTGAGGAAAGAGAAAAAGCGAGTGTCCCACGCGAATAAAGAACCCGCGTGTGGTAAAATTTGTGAGAATCAGTGCCTTTGCTCCTAATCAAGGTTACCCATTTTAGTAGGGGTAATTGCACGGTTGGTCACTGGAATTAGTAAAAATGTTCAAATTTAATCACTAAAAATATTTAATTTCATTATTGGTCACTAAAATTAGTTAAATAGTTCAAGTTTGGTCACTCTCCGTCCAAGTCCGTTAACTTTTGCTGATGTGGCAGTCAACTTTCAAAGTTGACTGTTAAATGTGTGACGTGGCAATTAAAAATATTTTGAAAAATAACATTTAATCATTAACATTTTCCACATCATTTCCAACTATTAAAAAATAAAAATGAACTTAACACGTGCAGACAGTAATAAAAAGGATCAGTAGCAAAGCTTAGGGATTTTCAAAGAATGAGATTTGAGAACGATGGAGAGGGGAGAACGAAATATAAACACAAATAGATTTCTCTTCCATCTCTTACTATTCAAATCGAGAGACACGTTGCAGAATTGATGTCCTAAAGAAAATTGGCAGCCCTCCGGCGCCCGATCCAGTGGAAGCCATGGACGGAAAGGAGTCACGATAGTGACGGAAAACGACGAGATCCGGGATTTGTCTGGGATGAGGGGCGGGAAGAAGGCCGGAATCGCAGTGGCTTCCCTTGCCCGCTCCAATGCAGCAATAGATCACCAGACATTGTTGATTTTTAACATGCGGGCACTCAAAGAAGACTCGTGGGTGCCGCACACACTTGCTTCCACGGCGACGTCGGATGAAGTTAGGACCCCGTTGATGGCGTCGGATTGGGTGCCCTTTTATATCAATTAACGATTTGCTTGGAGGAAAGAGACGTCACCATGGAGTAATTCTCCTTGTGGCGAAGCAAATGGTAGAGATGGCAAGAAGACGAGGAGGTATGAGACGAGAACCGAAGCCGTGGGGGCCATGGTTCCATTTTTCTGCATCTCCGCCAAGAAAAGGCAAGTTTGCTTCGTAATCTTCCAAAAAAATCATCTTGGAGCACGTCAGGGTTGAAGGCGAAGCAAGCTGTGGAGGTGGCGAAGAAGGCGGAGAAGAGGTTTTCGACTGAGTAATTAGAGTTATCTGAAAAGACCTAAATCCAAAAACAGTAATCAGGAGACAGGAGACAGTTTAGATTTTGGCATACTAGGAATTAAATTTTTACTTTTTAATGGTTGTAAAAATGATGTGGAAATTGAAAAGATTAAAGTTTTATTTTTTAAATATTTTTTAATTTCCACGTCATACATTTAACGGTCAATTATTAGGGTTGACTGCCACATCAGCAAAAGTTAACAGACTTGGACGGAGAGTGACCAAACTTGAACTATTTAACTAATTTTAGTGAACAATAATGGAATTAAATATTTTTAGTGACCAAACATGAACCTTTTTAGTAATTCTAGTGACCAATCTTGCAATTTACCCCATTTTAGTACTATAAAAAAAAAGTCTTCGACCCATAAGCAAATTAGCAAAGGCCCGGTCTGTTGGCCGGAAAAATTTTGTTGAGAAATATGATATATAATAATGGATATAATAGATTATTTGAAATGTATGAAATGATAGTTTTCTATCTTAGTTATGCACATAACATTTTTGAAAGTTATCGAACTATGCATACTATATTTAGACTTTAGACCTTCATGAAAAGAGGAAAAAATATAATATAAGCATTACATATAATTATTGAATGAAAAAAATATATATAACTAATTGTCATTCAATACTTAATTAAACCATATAGTTGAATATTAGAGTTTGCTTCTCATAATACATACATAATCAACCTTTAGGATCAAAGAAAATGTCTCATAGAGCTTATTATGTCCTTTAAGTTTTTCCCAATAGAGAATATTCTTTTTTACCACATTGTTGGTAATGAATATGAAGTTGCTTGATTTGAAATATATGTGACATGATGCTAAAGTGCTAAACTGTCACTAATAGTTAGTTGGACAATGTGTTGTGTACGGACTTCCCAAATTATTCTCAGATCGCAGACATGTCTAACAACAAAGTAGTAATTTTCCTGCAGCAAATATTTTTTTTTCATGAAATAATTCAATAAATAAAAACGTATGAAAATAATATACTTAAAATATATGTTACTAATTAAGTTGATGAATGAGCGAGGGTATGAGTAGCATACATTTATTTTAAAAAGATAGAAGTTGCAAAGTGTCTTTTGGGTTGCATGAGATCGCATATTCTCATTATCGCTAACTGACTTATGATTTTTTGCAATAGATAGTTCATAATGTGCCTTAAAATTTTTGTTTCCACCAGAAAATCTCTCTAGATTTTATTATATCCTTTAAGTTTTTCCCACTAGAGAACATTCTTTTTTACCACACTGTTGGTAATGAATATGAAATTGTTTGATTTGAAATATATAGGACATGATGCTAAGTTGTCTCTAATAGTTAGTTGGAGAATGTGTTGTGTACGGACTTCCTAAATTATTCTCAGATCGCAAACATGTCTAACAACAAAGTAGTAATTTTCATGCAGCAAATATTTTATTTTTTAAATAATTCAATAAATAAAAACATATGAAAATAATATTACTTGAAATATATGTTACTCGTTAAGTTGATGAATGAGCGAGGGTATGAGTAGCATACATTTAGTTTAAAAAGATAGAAGTTGCAAAGTGTCTTTTGGGTTGCATGAGATCGCATATTCTCATTATCGCTAACTGACTTATACTTTTTTGCCATAGATAGTTCAAAATGTGCCTTAAAATTTTTGTTTCCACCCATGTAAACAAAATTGTTTGAACCAAAGGATTGTAAAATCATATAGAAAAAGTTGGTAGTAGAGTATTTTATACTGAAGTCATAATTTAATTATGGTTCAACCGTTACATATTGCTAATATCACCTATCGATTTAGCTTATGATGTGAAGTTGTATGGTCTAACCACAGGTACGTACGATCTTTCAGTACAAAATTTAAATAAAAAACCACTAAAATATTGACATTGTCAAATACCCCTTAAATATCAGAAATTACAATAATAGTATTGAGAAAAATCTTCCAAATGATAATATTGATTTAGTATTTTAAATTGAAATGAAAACAATATGTCAAATATAATGTCATCTCCTAAAATAAATCAAAACTCAACAGAATAGGGCTAAGAATATCCACTAATCAAAACAGAAGGACAATTATTTCACACTACCTAATTTTTCACCTCTTTTAAATGTCCTCTCACTCTCTCATTGCCTTCCTCTTTGTTCTTCCATCTCTCTCTCAGCTTTGTATCTCACAACTCACCCCATTTTCCCTTCCTCTTTCTTCCCACCGCTTGGAATCGAGAGAAACTTATAAACATCTCAATTACTTCTCCAATTTTGCGTTCGAAATGCTTTTTCTCGATTCACAATCAATAGTGTGAATCAGAGCACCTGAAACCTGGCGAATGATGGTCGCTTATTCATCGACGGAGCAAAGTAGCTTGATAGCTTGTGAATAAACTAATTATTAAAAGTGATAAAAAGCAGAACTCGTTAAACCAAACGAGTGTATAGTTTGTTCATCGCTTAAAGCCTTAAAACCATTATATTTATATAAAGAATCAAAATGCATAATTAGGTTCATCTTCACTTTACATGTATTTGTCGTACAAATTCATTACACATAAAAAAGGTTTTGAACTGAAGCCATATTAAACTAAATCTCGTCTTATGATTATTGGATCCATGTCAGATTAGCAAAAGATCTAAGGCTATTGGTCAATCGGACTGAAAATTAATACTAATTTAAGAATTATATATCGCTTACAAAATGTTCAATACTCCAATTAAATATGCAATATTCAATATTCAAAGAAATTATATATGAGTTTCAACCCTTGCTCAAATATTTTAGACAAAAAAAATCCCCCACCCCACACACATTTGCAAAGAAATACTAAATCCCAATTTCTTGTTCACTTTACTTGCTACTAAAGTTATTGTTGACGTTGTTTGTTATTACTGCAAGCTGTAAAAAAGACTTTTCAGCTATGAAGTTAATCAAGAATGATTTTATAAATGAATTTTTAGTTGTATACATTGAAAAAGGTTTGAATCTCAAAATAAACAATGAATGTATTTTATAAACCTTTTAGAATATGAGCCGTCACACGTTGATGCGAGAAACTACTAATTAATTCATATTTTATATGTTATTTTTAGAATATTTTGTTTTATTTTTATCAAATGACGCATTTCTCCATAAAGCATGTGTTCACCAATATAGGCTGTGTGGTGCTCGCACTTGTGCGAGAGCCCTTGAAGTTCAAGTCTGGTACGAACCATGAAGCATTCATGCTTGTACATGGCCGATCTATATACATTGTCTTCATGGTATGCTCTAACTGTGTCATGCTAGCTCGACCATGTGTCTAGGTATAGTTATATGCATTATAATAATTAAGTTTCTACCTATTCACAACAGCAAGATAAAAACAATCATAAATGCACTTAGTATACGATTTTGACTACCTGATGAAATACTACATTTGAATAAATTACAACTAATGTCATAAATAATAATTATACCTCTAAATCATACATAAAATATTTCAAACATCGCAAATATTAAGATTAAATTAATTATTATTAATAGTAAAAATTGTATAATGAGGTTAATTATAACTCATTTATATGTTCATGCCCTATAAATTGATCAACACATCTGATCCAAAACTTAAGAAATGAACATCACATTAAACTTGATATTGTCTCATTATTGTCGGGTCCATTCATGCCCGATTAGCAAGAGTTTAACGTTTAGCAGATAACCAGGCTAAAATTTTAGAGAACCAGTGACCTATAGTTTGTACAAAAATATTATTGTTTCGTATTACTTCTGAAAATTCATATTAATTTAAAGAATTCTACATCGCTTTTGCATATTCAATACTGCAGTTCGATATGCAATATTTC